TTATTAATTGCGTTCACGTGCAAAAAGTTAATGAACAATTGAATAATAATCTCCATGAGAGTATTGCACGATTGTTAAATTACCTCCAACACAATGGCTGTCAGTGCTAAGTGACATACTACGTCCACATCTGTATGTTTGTTATACTCATAAATGCGTCAAAGTAACATACAGTAAAGAAAATAATAGACACACTACAACTACAAACATTAAAAATAAGTCAAAGTAAAGTAGAGAGAGGCAGATATACAAGTAGAAAGAAAGAGTTAGCTATAGAAAGACTTGTTCCATCATAACTGAGAACCATTTAGGGAAATATATCCATCATCCTCAAATATCCAATTTAACGTTTCTTGTTACCTACTGCTTTCCCAAATTCTTTATAGATATGGATTTGCAGATTTGCAGATTTTGTTTATCTTTTTATTTTAAAATAACACTGAGATAAACATAAGTCGTTGTAAATCCAAGATCTTCTGTGGTTTTTTTTATTATCACAGTTTCTTCGCTGTATTGTAATTATAACAACTGGTTGCATGTTAGCAAGTACCAGAACGGCAACCATTGTTTATCAAACGAAAATTATTAGACATTATAAGCAAACTAACAGATTTAAAAAAGATGAATTGCATAACAAACTAAAATTGGAAAAGACGTATAATTGCACTAAATACATATTTAAAAAAAGTTGCTCTATTTGAATTTAAAAGTGTTCACTGAGCTTGGAAGTATTGTAAAAACTAAAAAAAACTTTCAATTTAGAATAAATATCTAGATCTGGATGAATACACCGGTATTTATCGTTAATAACATCATCATCACGATATTTAACACCACAATAATTTCTATTATCAATATTAGCAATCAAAGATACTATGTACAAAGAAGAATACGAGCTATTTATTCATTTCTCTAACCACATTTATTAAAGAGTGATAACAAGAAAGGCAATAAAAGACTTTCAGTACATTCAATCAACTTACACCTCTAAACGATTAACAGAATTCTCATTTCATTGTAGTAAAAACCACGGTAAACTGCACTGGTGTTCTCGATAATGTTTACCACTTTATTAAATTTTAGGTATAAATACTGGAAATTTCGAAACGTAATGAAAAATCAACAGTTTATATAGTTGACTAAGTACTACGGTTACCACCGTATTACTGCCAGTTTAGTCCCATCAAAACACATCTGGGGTATATGTAAAACGTATTATGATAATCATGTTGGATACAGTGACGATGCAGTTAGGGAAATGTGGCAAGAAGCTCTTATAACTTCAACTTCAGAAATATGGGCCAAAACTTTAAATAAATGAGAAAAATTAATAGAAAAGTGGTGATTTGCATAATGATAGTGGTAGTGAATTCAGTAACGATGATGATTTATAAATTTAAATAATCAGTAAGTACACTATTATAATTTATTTACAAAATAATTGTACAGCAGGTTAACCATTATATTTATATGTTCATTATTAGCCAAATAATCAATAATATTTAAAAAAAAATTTCTCCTTACTTTATACAAATTAACTCTAGCTGATAATACAGGCAAAAATATTACAAAAATAACTAAACAAAGTAAGTAACTAAAAAGATTATGGAAAACTCCAGTGCAGTTTACCGTGCCCTTTACTACAATGAAAGGATTTCTCCGAATTGCTATAATCGTTTAGAGGTGTAAGTCGGTTGAATGTGCTGTACTGCTTTGCAAGAGAAATGAAAAAAGAAAATCGCAAATAGTAAATTGGAAGGGAACGAGGAATAAAGGAAGATAAAATCAGCGATGATATCAGAAACAAGATAAGATGTGTAAATTATGTAAGAAATAACATTAGTAAACAAGCCTCTTTGTAACTTCATTGTGCAGTGTAGTTTGCCCATTCTTTTCTACCAAAGCATGATTTTTGGGAATAATTGACCTATATTATTCCCGGGAACTGGGAAGGTCCAGGTTCCTTTGTGGTTCTGAGATTTTCGTCAACTCGAATTTCTTACCAGCCATTTGCTGCTTGCCAAACTTTTTGAACCATCTTGATTTATATTGGAAAAAATGATGTTCTATTTAGTTCGGTCGGTAAACTCTCCCAGTACATCAAATTCCTTCTGGAAGAAGTGAATCTTGCAGTTTACGGTCTTTGCCTCTCCAAGCAAGTTCAAATGAGAAAATGTGAAAAAACTTTTTTTGTGCTCCATTGGGGGTTTTCTCGTCGTGGCTTTGGATGATTTTTAATAGTTCTTCGGTGGATCATGCTTTTGAATTGAGTTTCCTTTTTTCTTGATCATTTTGAAGCTGCCTCCGCTTGGTATCTCTGGCCAATCTTGTGCATTTGAAAGATATCTGTGAAAGGGTTGATTTTTCTGTCATACTCCGAAAAATATTTTTCTTGTATCATTTTTGCTGTAGTATTCCACATTGCCTTTACAGATTACTCTTTATAGTCTTCCTTATTGCCTTTTTTCATGTAAAAGGCATAATCCTCGAGAATTTTTGATAGTTCCGGTATGATAGCACATCTTTTAAGCGTAAAATTTCTTACTCATAGAAAATTCGAATATTGGGTTCAAATAAAGCTTCTGGAACTGGCGAATTTAATGGGTCATTTTCCGAAACCAATTTTTTAAATGACTGGCATCCAAATCTTGATTTTTCTTCTGGATTCATTATATCTGTCCAACATTGATTACACCTCAATGATGTTTGTCAAACTAAAAACAATACAATTATCCTACAATATGACACCTTATATCCACCCTTCAATACAATAATGACACCTTCGTGACAGATCTGTCATAATTTTGTCGCTGAGAAGTCATGGACAGAAAGGAGTTTTGTCAGTAGGAAACGGGGCGTCGCTGTGTTTTATCAGTTAAAACAGTCTAGTGAAATGCTTAGAAATAGAGATCCTACAGAAAAAACATGATATATTCAATATGCACAGAAAGATCAAAGAAATGGCAGGAATATATAGAAAAACAATACCCACTGAACTGTTTGATAAAGATGAAAACATACTATTCAATAGGCAAGAAAAACTGGACAGATGGCAGGAATATATAGCAGAACTGTGCAGTGACAACCAACACATTGAAGTATATGACAACGTCGAGAATGGACCAACAATAACAAAATCAGAAGAAAGATCTGCTATAAGTCGTCTAAAAAAAAACAAAGCGCCAGGACCTGATAGAATATATGCTGAGGTATTGAAATTTATTTGAACTTGAGGAACTTTACCAAAAGAGTGGTACATGTCCATATTTATACCACTGCCAAAAAAAGCAAATACTAAGAAATGTGAAGAACACCAAATCATTAGACTCATGAACCAGTCACTCAAAATATTCTTAAACATCATTCATGCTCGCATATACAAGAAATTAGAGGGGGGTATTGCTGATGTACAATTTGGAATTCGCAGCGGTATTGGCACAAGAGAGAAGCACTTTTTAGCATACAAGTATTGATAAAACGAGCAAGAGATATTAATACAGATGTGTTTGCCTGTTTCATTGATTTTGAAGAACCATTTAACAAAGTACAGCATTAGAGGCTTCTTGAAACTTTGCGAATCGCAAACATCGATGACAAGGATATAAGAATAATAAACAATTTCTATAGAAAATAAGTAGCCAAGATTCGAGTAGACAATCAATTACCCGATGAAGTCCCAATACAAAGAGGAGTACGACAAAGTTGCATACTCTCGCCTTTGCTGTTTAATGCGTACTCTGAACATCGATTTCGAGAAGCTTTGGAAGAAACGACTGATAGCGTGATTGTTTACGATGAAGTAATAAATAATCTGAGATATGCAGACGACACTGTCTTTGTTGCGGATAGTGCTGAAGGATTACAAGGACTGATAGATCAACCAGTTAACATCGATATAAAATATGGAATAAAACTTAATAATAAGAAGGATGACAAAAATTATGATCATAAGCAAAAACCAAGATACAGATGCAATGCTTATGGTAGACAATGAGGTATTGGATAGAACAGAAAAAATAACATATCTAGGATGCAACATCACAGACAGCTGGGATCACTCATACGAGATTAAACGTAGGATGGAAAAAGCAAGGAGTGCCTTTCAACAGATGAAGAAAGTTCCCTGCAATTTAACATTGAACTTACATCTTTGACTCAAACTCCTTAGTTGTTATGTGTTTTCTGTTCTTATATATGCAGCAGAGGCGTAGACACTCACTGATGTGTCTTGCAGACGGTTGCAGTCTTTTGAAACGTGGTGCTGTCGTCGCATGCTCAAAATATCATTATGTACCTCATATAACTAACGAATCACTAATGCAACGTTTACAAAAACAACCTGAAGTCTTGAAATCCATTAAAGAGAAAGTTAGCATACTTCGGACATATAGTGAGAAATGAAAATAAATACAGAACCCTACTATTGATATTAGAAGGGAAAATAGAAGGAAATAGAGGACTAGGACGCCGCCAAATATCCTGGCTTAAGAATTTGAGCCAGTGGACAGGTACGGCCACCACAGACCTATTTCGAAAAGTTGCTAATAAAATAAGATGGGCCATTGTGGTAGGCAACATCCATAGAGGATAGGCACTAGCAGAAGAAGAAGTAAAATAGTCATACAAAAGCTTAAATTTTTTCAGGGAATCGTTCTGAAATGTTTTTTTGTTTAAATAAGTTTATATTGGAGAAAAAGATTGTAAAAATTACAATCTGTAAATATGTTATTTTATTTTTAAGATAAATTTTATGTAACGTCGAAAATATGTACATTACCAGTTTACAGATTCTGTAAATATATATATCATAATGATGATTCTGCCCATTTAATTTGTTAAAAAATTTTCAAACTACGTAGTATCCAGAACTATTATAAATTGAAAGCATATAGTGAAATATTTTCTTAAAACGCGTGCCCTACATACATTTAGATGAAACAATTAATAGACATAAAGAGAAGAATAAACAAAATAACGGATATGCATATACGTTTAAATACCTTGTTCCTGTTTCGTTTTCTCCATTGCCGCGCAAGCGGCCCTCCACTCCTGCAATTCAGGGGAAGGAATAAGACCAGCCGAACCAGCAGCATTGTCTTTCCTCGCTTGCCACCAATGATGGTCGTCTTTACTAATAATCTGAAACAAATCGGACAAAAATGTTAAAAATGTAATACGTTAAAATGTAAATAAAAAATGTATCACTAAATCCAGCTCTTACCCAAACTTTGACTCGACACTTGTTAGATGTTTTTGGTATTTATTGCTTTATACCTAATTTTTCCTTTGAGTGAAATAATTTCCTTATCAACTGATTAGTATTCCTCTGGATCTAAGAAGCTATTTTGAATTTTATCTAGTTGAAAGCTGTTTGAAATTATGATATTTTATATTTTATGAAAATTTTTTTGTTGAATGAACTGGGAGATTGCTCATGAGGTTGTCCTTTATAACCTAGGCCATATTACATAAATTCCTGGATTACAGTGTAAAATCACCCTTTTTCCCCCACGCCAGTGTTAAATTGGTCAAAAGAGGCACGACCTTAAATCCTACTCATGAGTGATAACTTAAGTGGCAATAAATTTGAAATACGTAAGACAATTTTGTCATTGTCACAAAATTGCTAACATCAACGTCAAGATTTGTCGGCTGCGAAAACGCATTTCATCCAGTAAAAAATCCGAACCTACTAGATAGGCAACACAAGGAAAAGCATAATTCTGGTATTTGAAAAAAAAATCACAAAACAATATTACTATCTTTGACACGTTCTTGGATTTTCATTGTCAAACATTATGACATATTCCAAATATCCTTTTTTTTTAATCCAAATCGTCTTTTTCACTAGATCTTACAAAATTGTTCGTCTCCAGATTCGCTTAAAAATCCGACTAACGACAAAAGAAAATTAAATTAGGTACATTTTAAGTTTTTCTGGAAAATTGGTTTGAATGTAGTCCCAGGGAGAGTCGGAGGACTTTTTACGACAAATAAACTTTATTACAAAAACTTTGTCCCACGACATTCTGCTTTCATTAAAGGAGGGATCCGACTCCGTAGCGATACGTTTATTGAAACAATTTAGACTATACTCAAAACTAATTAATGTTAGTTTGAGTTAAATGAGGTAAAAGAGAAATTAAGATAAAGTTGGAGAGTGAGTTTTGTTGGAATATGATGACATAATGGAGTCTAAAAACAATTGATGTATGTTTCGGCCTACAGAAGTAACTTTTAATGAGACATAGACGTTGATTTTAATTGGAACAACTATTTAAATATTTTAAGACTATATAAGGTAGCATTGGTATATAAGTACAGTTATGCCTATATTAGAAATAGAATTTCTTGATCAATACACTGCTCAGTTTAATAGAATTACTGGAATACTCGATATTTTGTTCCTGAGTGACTACAGCTTACATTATCAAATATGCGGCAGTGGTTTGAGATGTGTTGCTGACTTTAATAGTATTAGACTACCTATATAATATATACTGGTTACCTAGATATATGCTAGTTTCGGCAAACTAGCATATATCTTGAAAAACACCTACATTCCGGTAAACTTAAAGAAAAAGGTGTATAATACATGCATACTACCAGTTTGTACCTACGGCTTGGAGACAGTAGCCCTTACCAAACAATCTGCTAAAAAACTAGAAACAACGCAAAGAGCAATGGAATGAATTGTGCTTGGAATATCACTGAAAGAAAAAATTAGAAACACCGAGATAAGACGTAGAATGAAGATTAGGGATATTGTAGACGAAATTACAAAAATGAAATGGCGCTGGGCAGATCACGTAGTCCGATACGGCACGTGGACACGGAGAATTTTAGAATGGAGATCAAGGACGACAACAAGAAGCATTGGAAGACCTCAAAAAAGATGGTAGATGACATAAGAGCAGTGGCAGGCAAACAGTGGATTAGATTAGCGCAAGATAGAGAGCAATTGGGAGAGACCTACATTCAAGAGTGGATGAAAATGGTTGACAAAGAGAGACTACCTATTAAAAACTGAAAGTAACTCTGATTCACTTATCAAAACACATTTTGTGACAGAGAAATTTTTTGGTATTTTCGATATGTATCGACTTTTTAAAACTTAAAATAAAAAAAAAATGTATTTATAACTCACCAATCTTGAGTAATAAGCACATTTTTTTATTAGGAAGATATGTGACCTATCTTCAGTCCTGTGACCTACAAGATGGACCGACGATCTCAAAAATATGTCAAGAAATTGGATAAAAAGTGCTCAAAGCAGAGCACAATGGACAAAAATGAGGGAGGCCTATGTCCAGCAGTGGACGGAAAGGGCTGGATGATGATGATGATGTGACCTATCAATATTTGGACCGTGGGCTAATTCATTTTTGATAAGTACACTATGATTGGTTGTATATTACCAACAAAATACAATGCCTAGGTAGTGTGTCAATTAGGCTCCCTACATACATAACAGTTTATAGTTGTAACAATAAAATACTGAAACACTTTTCAAACTTTCACAAAATTTATTTTAATTCTTATCGCTACAGCTGTTTCGGCTGATTGCCTTTCTCAAGTGATCTATTTTTGGCTTGGGTTTACAAATTTATAGTCTCTAATGAAATAGGTTGAGGAGGGGAGAACTGTTTGTCTCAAGTTGGTTATTCAGAATTATATCTGTGTTTTTTAATTTGTTAATTTCCATAGATTCTACAAAGATAGCTTAAAGCCTTTATTTTGAATGTGAAGAATTTTAAACTTGTCATTAAAAGTTTTCTTTATTGCCTTTATTTCTTTGTTGCCTTTATTTTGAATGTGAAGAATTTTAAATTTGTCATTAAAAGTTTTTGAAAACAAAGTTTTCAGTGTTTTATTGTTACATAAAATGAATTTCCATCAAGTAAAGGTCGGATCCATCAATTGCTTATAGTTGTGTCTATGGTAAACTAATCTTCAAATCACAAAAAATAAACTCTTACTGTACTTGTGAGTAGAGCGTACGAACTTAAAGATCAAGATAAGTCATGGCCCCTCGTATATGCTTAATACTTGTCTAACATTATTAACAGCTTGTCGTCCAAAACGTCGATTACGCTATGCAGTATCGTTGACATAAAGGGACCCGGAAGACCACGTTACAGATTCTTGCTTTTATCTCACCAATATTCAGAGTATAGAATGAAGAATACTGTACAGCATTCCGATTTACCATTAGTTATCCATCCGTCGAACATAGTAAAAATGTTTCTATCCCAAAATCATTTAAAGACTTTGAGCATGGAGGAATAATCTGACAGAGTTGAGACTATAGTTGATAATATACAATTAGAATAGGAAACAGACAATAATCTAATATTTTAAGAATCAGAATATTACACAAAACCCCTTCTGATTTTACAGGTAGGTTCAAAGGTTCGAGATTTAAAACTAGTTGAATCACAGCTAAAACTTCTACCGTCAAGTATGGAATCTCCTCGAAGATGACGTTTAACAGGGGAGATGTGATATTTTATCTCCTATAACATTCACTATAATCAATATAAATCCCAACCTGTGAAGACCTAAAAGTGATCGCGTGTCTTCTTTTGTTGGTTGCCGTCAAAAATACTTTTCTTGCCAATACACATAAAATTGTGGTTATAGAAAATTGTTTTAAACAAATATAAGTATAATAAAAATAAATAATTTTAAATAAGCACTAGATCTTAACGGACAAGGACTCTTTGTATAAAGCAGAAGTTTTTAAAAGTTAGTGAGCCACAAAATAAAGAAGGTATATATAATAAAGTTGAAGTAAGAGCACGAAGAGCATTTGAAACAGTTGCATTCAATATTCTTGACAATGTCAAAGCTGATAATTATAGAGTTCTTGTTACGGAATTACTTAGTGCCTACAGAGAAATGGGATGTCTCTAAAACTTCCCCTTCTAGATGCCTATCTCAATTTCTTTCCATAAAATTTAGGCGCTATAAGTGATGAACATGGAGAATTGTTCCACCACCACGACATTGTAGCAATAAAAATAATAATCAAGGTAAATAGGGTCCTAGCCTGCTGGCCGATTACAGCTGGACACTAGTTCGTGATAATCGATGTAAAGTATCATTGTAAAACATCCTCCACAAGATTTGTAAAGCAAAGCTTCTATACTGGCAGTGTATTTTGCTTTTTTTCTATAGTAGCATCGTCACGAGTAGCATAATGAAATAGCGGGTCCTCACTACGATTTACTACTGTTTGTAGTATTATTCCTAAAACATTATAATTTATACTCGTTTAACATATTTTCGCATTTTGTTTATATAAAATATGTTTAATAATTTGAATCGAGGACATTCATAAATATACTCTAATTAGAATTTGTAAATCAGCACTATTACCAATCACGACATATATAATAATAAGTAAACTGCTGATATAGGCAAGGCCTGCTTTTAAAAGCGACAACAATCATTATCTCTGAGATCAGAACTAATTTAACGTCAAGATGGCAAGTTAATGTATCGCGTATTGATAATTATGAGGGAGCCTCAATTTATATCAACATTACATAAGTACTAATTACATTTAAGATAAGTAATTTTAAGTAAAAGTATTCAGTAGTGTTTTCAATAAATGTACTATACGATACAATAAATTAAGTATTATTTATTACATCTTGATTAATTCGCTTTCAGTCATTATATATTTACTCTAAGGAGATTTAAATTAAAATCCACATGAAAAATGGCTAACAAAATACAGACATTAATTAAAAAGCAAAAAAAAAATTAAAAGTATATCATTTGTCAAAAAAAAAAAAAATAGTAGAACAAACAGAAAACTAAACGATCAATAATAAAATCCGGTTCGTGACAATTCTCGAACGTCAAAATTCATTATAAATGTCAAACGTTCTCATGAATGTCATCTTATCCAATTATTAATAATATATAATGGAATGTTTAATAACGTCCGATATCATAATCAATTTAAAATGAACATTAAATAAATAATACTTTACTAGATCGCAGCGTGGAAACTGCTCTACCAGGTACAACACCCTGAAAGGTATGTAAGTCGTCTACGACAATTCCAAGTTTCAACATCGAAAATAAGCCGAGTAAACCAAGAATCTCAACGGAAATAAGGGTTCGTGCGATAATTGTAGCCAACTACGATTGCCTGGTAAAGTCACATTGTTTTGAGCCTTTCGACTCTCGGAACTCCAAGTGATATCGTTGCCACCTTTGACTAGAAAGGATGCGGTCTTAGAGGCGTTCAGGCATAATTCCACGGATGGTAACTTAGCACCATTTCCCACTCGAGTAGGTGCGTTATCCAAATGTCCGAACCTGCGGTTTCTCTCGTAGTGAGCAGGATTACTACCGCAACGACGAGTCATCAGTAGGGTAAAACTAACCTGTCTCAAGACGGTCTAATTCCAGCTCACGTTCCCTGTCTATGGATCAACAATCCACCGCTTGGCGAATTCTGCTTCGCAATAATAGGAAGAGCCGACATCAAAGGATCAAAAAGCGACATCGCTATGATAGGCCGTGCTTTCGCAGTCCCTATGCATACTGAACATCAGGATCAAGCCAGCTTTTGCCCTTTGGCTCTAGGAGAGGTTTCTGTCCTGGCTGAGCTGGCCTTAGGACACCTGCGTTATCCTTTGACAGATGTATCAGATAAAGCAGGCTGGAAGTAATTTGACGCTCGAAACGAAGCACACGAACGCTAGCCGGGTATCCGAAAGGCGAGCCTTATCGGAACCACGAAACCGACGAACGGCACAACGCAACGAAACGTCACTCCGTGCACTTGGCTCAAGAATACCGTGACAGTCGCCGCCTCGTGAGCGAACGACGCACGCGTTTCGCCTTACGGAGTAAGTAAAGAAATAATGAAACGATGATTATGCAAAAATGAATTTATATATAAACGCCATTTAAAAGTTTACAGAGACAGAATGAATTGTTTACAATAATATGATGATTTATATTTCTTTGAAAGGTTTCCTTTAACAAAAGATATAGTTATGTCTTTATTTGAATAGATGGAACCTCTTTATAACAAAGAGGTAGGTAATATCATTCAGATATAATAAAATTGGTCACTACATTAACATTGGTAAATAAAAATCATTAAAAAGTCAAATCAACCAATATTAATGCTCTAATGTATATAGAGAAAATACTAACCACTACATATTTTTAGAGAACAAGCTGTAACACAAGTACAGAAGTTATATTTGACATTAATATTTTTTGCTTCTGGAAAAATGCAAATACCAGTAGCTGATATTAAATAAATGATAAACTGGTCCAAGAAGAATTTTATGCCATTCTATTATTTCCAAGATGAATAGCTGCAGATTTGTACCTTAATACGAATTGATTCTTATGGCGGTGCAAATGCAGAAAATGGTTGATATATTGGCTACAATGAACAACTCTTTGAAGAAAATAAGGCATTAATGATCATTGAATAATTCCTTGATATCTTTTTACTAGGTGTTTTTTAATTTTATGATTTTCTACATTTTGGTTCGTAAAAAGAAGCACATTTTTCCAACAACGACTGATTTAGCCCACATGTGTTTTCTTTTTACAAATTTTTTTCTAAAACTCTTTACTAAAACTTTTAGTAGGTATTAGATTGTTATAAATCATATTGTGACATTATATTTTAACAAAGAAAAAAAAAAGAAATTTTGGCTGATACATACAAAAGAAAATGAAATGAGATACAAAAATGAATTATTGGTTCATTATGAGGTTTTGACCGTCACTTTCTAAATATTTTTAAAAATGATCGTGTTCATCAGCTACTTATCAGCATATGTATTAAGTAGCAACTTACTTGAAGAATATCACCAGTCTTAAAGGCAATACCAGCTTGTGCACATGGAATGAGGTCGTCTTCCAGTGGATCATAATCAAACTGCGCTCTAACAAATATCTGAAAAAAAAAGATACAAATATAATCTTAACGTAGAGTTTTATAAAATGTTATAGGTATTTTCACAAATATTATTAAGCTTTGTCAAAAAACAAGCATTTTAAAACAAAATCTGTAAATCTTGAATTGAATTGGAGGTATCATGTATATTTTGGACGATTATTTTTCGCTTTTTAACGGAATTTGAATAATACTTAAATTTCTTTATTTAAGGGTCGTAGTTCTCGTGCATCAAAGATAGCGATTGAAATCTTATCTCGGAGCCATCGACGATTTTAGAAAAATGGAAATCATACATAGAAAAGGTATTTGCATCTGACAGGACTTAGGATCACCTATATGAAGAAGGAGAAACGGGACCTTCAATCCTTAAATCGGAGATAGAAAATGCCATTGCAGCACTAAAAAGCAATAAGTCGGCAGGTCCGGACAATGTACCCTGTGAAATAATAAGGATCCTATGTAAATCAGATAAACAGTTCCTTGATAGTCTAGTTGTACTTTTTAACAACGTATATAATAGCGGTAAAATCCCGGAGAACTGGCTGCAGTCAACATTTATTACAATCCCAAAGAATCCAAATGCTCAGATCTGTATTAACTATCGGCTTATAAGCTTGATCAATCATGTCACTAAAGCGTTTACTAAGATCATTCATAGAAGAATATATGTGAGTCAAAATAATATTGATAGATCGCAGTTTGATTTTCATAAAACAGTTGGAACTAGAGAAGCAGTGTTCGCTCAATAGGAGTTTATATAGCGGTGTAGAAGTTGATAAGCATTTGACAATGTCAATCATAAACAATTGATAGATATTCTGCGAAAGACAGGTATTGACAACAAAGACATTCGAATTGTGGCAAACCTATACTGGAGTCAAATAGCAAGAGCAAAAATTTACAACGAATTCACTGGAAGTGTGCAGGTTAAAAGAGGTGTCCGTCAGGGGTGTATCTTATTTTCCCACTCTTATTTAATATTTATTACGAGGAAATATTTAACAAATGTATGGAAAATGCAAATGAGGGCATAAAAATAAACGGCGAGTTAACGAACAATATAAGATATGCTGACGACACGGTGATCCTTGCCAGTACCATAGACGAATTACAAAAGGTAATGGAAGGAGTTTATTCAGTTAGTGAGGAATACGGCCTGAGCCTCAACTTCAAGAAGACAAAATGGATGCTGATAAGCAAAAAGCAACAACCTGCTCGACAATTACGGATAAGTAACATACTAATCGACCATGTAGAATCTTATGTATACATTGGCACCAACGTAGATGCAAAATGGGAACAGCCCACAGAAATTAAGCCAGAATAAATAATATACCGTTGAAATACTTGATTTGAAGAAGATGATGGAGGAATCGACCAAAGTGGCGACATGTCCGCGAGCAGATCTAGATCCACAAATGATTGTCAAGTCAATTATTATGATGATGATGAATGGAGCTAATGGGGATCCTATGTCTAATTCAAAGTCTTCTTCATACAATTTGTTCTTGAATTGAAAATAGGTATTTTCAGTGCATAGTGTACTTTGATTCATTATAGCTGATACATTTAGTTTTGTTTTATTTATCAATCATCATTTTTTAGTTTGATTCTTATTGTGTTTAAGATTATTCCAGAAATACATTAGTGAATACTCTGTTGAAGTTAAAACTAACTAGCATGTTGTTGGGATATAATCTATTTCTGTCAGCTTTTGTAGTAAATGTTCTATGTTCTTTAAAAACGTGTTCCTACTGAATGCCAATGTTTATCTTCTTCTTCAAGTCCCCTGTCCGTTGCAAACGTTGGCTATTACCATGGTAATTCTAATCTTAATTGCGGCGCTTCTGAATAGTTCGACCGATGTAAGCCCGAACCGCTTCCGCAGATTTTGGAGCCACGAGTGTCTTCTCCTGCCTGGCCATCGCTTACTCTCTATTTTCCCCTGGTCAATCAATTGCAATGGACGCTACTTATCGTATCTCAATATATGGCCTAGATATTCAAGCATTCTTGGTTTAATTGTGTTTACGACTTCTTTCTTCCTTCTGATTCATTGGATTACCTCTGTGTTGGTGACATGTTCGGTCCAGGATATACGAAGAATGCGTCGGTACACCCACATTTCGAATGCTTCTAGTTTTCTCGTGAGCGTCTCTGCCAGCGTCCAGGCCAATGTTTATATTATATCTAAAAGGAGCTTGGGCAGTTTGTTGCAAGGATGCTGCAAGGATGAGGCAAATAAAACGCTACTTCCAGATAAACGATTGAAGAAGTACCACATCAGAACCGTCATGTTTAAATAAAATGTACTAAAACGTATTCTAACTTAAACTATCTAATTACAAAAATTTAAGTAAATCAATCTAATTTAAATATTCAACGATTTTACGTCCTTTGAAATTTCTTAATTTTTTTTTTATTAGTCAAACTCAATGCTTACTTAATGGAAAAATCTCCAAAAATAAACCCAAAAACATAAATAAAAGAGCATAAAGTTTAATATCCTGGTCTAAAAGCAAATAGACCCTAACTTCCCAAAACCGCTCTTCAAGTCTCGGCAATCTTAGCTGCGGCAACTATTAATTTTATCCTTGATATAAATCCGTCCACCTTTATTGCATTATCAACCCGAAAAATAACGGTAACGTGCATTATGCGTCCGAAATTAGGTTTTAGTATCGGCCGGTTGGAACAGAAAAGAAATTGGAAAATGTCTTGTGGATTCAATAGCAAAAATATTCGATATTTTTTTGTTGCGTTTCAATAAAACTACGATATAAATTTAGAAGCTGGGCTTGAAATTATTTTTACATAAACGCTATTTTGCATTGATAGCGATATAAAATGAAAATGACTTAATAAACGATATACAAAAGGCCATCATAAAAGGAAGGGTCATAAATTATACCACCATTTTTAGCGGTAAAAATAAGTCAATATATATATGCACAGCACACCTAAAGTTGAAGTGTTACACGTGATTTTTTAATGTTGCGCTAAAACTAAAATAGTTGCGATTAAATACTTTTTATGAATATTTACGTCAATTAATGTTGTTGTATTTAACGACTAAAAACAACCGATGAAGCGCCAATATTTGATTTATAGTTTTTTTATTAGTTAGGTCATATATAAACTTTTGTCTATTAGTATTTGTTTGTAAACTGAATCGTTTGGAACAATACAGCCTACAAAACGAAGCTAAACAATTTTAGAATAAAAAATATAATTATAAATGTATATATTTTAATATAGTATATGAATTAACAAAGTTGATGATCAATTAAAGTTTTATCAGTGTCGGATGTATCTTGACTATTTCAATTATGTCTCACAGATTGAGAAAATTTTTTTTCGAATGAAAACAAATATCCACAAATATTTTAAAGCTTTTAAAAAATGTAAATGTATTTATTTTTTTTTTTTTTTTAATTGAAGAATTAACAACTTTGGAGAACATCCACCTGCAGACAAGTTCATAAATAAAATTAGTTTACTTTCAACAATAATACTAGTAAAATAAACGGGTTCCCCTGTTTTCTTGTTTATCAACACAATGTATACAAATATAAGTAGTTACATAAAATAATAGAAATATGGACCAGTTTGTTCCTGGTAAAATACCAAAATATAGTTTACAAGTAAAACAATAAAAAGAAATTAAAAAGCAATTCATCTAATAAATTGTTAGAAAAATATGATTCAAAATAAAAAAGTATTGAAGAATTAAACTATTTCGAACACGTTTTAGAACGAGACAACTTTGGTAAACATCTACCTGCATTTAAGTTCATAAATAATTAGTTCATCATCACCCAGCCCTTTTCGTCCACTGCTGGATATCGACCTCCCTCATTTTTGTTCATTGTGCTCTATCTTGAGCACTTTTTTTCCAATTTCTTGACACGTTCTTGAAATCGTCAGTCCAACGAGTAGGGTGTCTTGCTCTGCTTCTTTTGTCTAACCTCGGCCTCCAATCCAGCAATCTCTTCGTCCGCCTTTCATCACTGATTCGGGCGACGTGTTGTGATTTCCGGTAGTTCTGATCCTTGGTTGACAAAGCCCTTTTTCCTTGTTAATGTTTCTGATACTTGATCCTCTTTGTTATTTGCTTTGTGTTGACTTGTGTACAGCAATTGTTTTACAAATTTCTGTACAAAATTAATTCACTTTCAATAAAAACACTAAAAAAAACGGATTCACCTGTTTACCTGTTTGTCGACAAGATATAAATAAATATAAATAGCTACAGAAAAGAATAGAACTATGAACCAGTTTTTTCCTGGTATAATACCAAAATATAATTTAGAAGTAAAACGAAGAAAAAGCAGAAATTAAAAAGTATCAAGCAATCATTAATTACCGATTAATTTAACTATACAGTATGCAACCTATCCTTAAATTTCTTAAATTTATGTCATTTTGTTTGTTTATATTTCTAATGAATTTAAATTACAATAAACTAAATTATAGTTGTAGAAGTAAAATGCTTATCAGTTGCATTATTTTATAAATGTTTTTATCTTAAACAATCAATCGTTTTTTTTACTAGTTTTTAATTCCCTGATAATGGTTGCTAGTGGGAAGTCTCACTGTATCAAAAAAAATTGGTATAGAATTATATACACATATAAGAGTAAATGCATAAGATTAGAAAAAGATTAAAACTCCAATAAAAATGTAAAATCTTGAACCATTGGTACAGCAGATACATAAATAGTTCCTTATTATGGTATACTCTTAAGATTGAGATTCTTCTAATACAAATAAACAAGGCACTAGATACAAAGATTATGATTGATATGATATATGTGAAGACTTGAAAATTATATAGCTAATGAAATTGATAAGAATTTATTCAGAGTATCCTTCTTATTAACTTTCTTCTTCTTCCTTCTTGTATGTAGGCTTTAAAGCCTATTTTTTCTTTAATTTTAGCTTCCTAAATTATTTAAATTGTCGAACCATCTTTTTCTTGGTCTGCCAATACTTCT